GCTGGCTCCCCACCTACCCTCCAGGGCGACCTGGTTCACATAAACAATGTACTTGCCTGAAAAACACTAACCCCATGGAAACCAACAGTTCATTCACAAAAACAAGAGAAGGAAAAGAGATAATGGCAAATTAAGTCAGAAGCAGGCGAGGAAGTTAAAACAGGGAGCCTAGAGTTTATAATTGGGATGTGGCATGGGTTAGCTATGAAGTTAGGATACCAAGTACCAAATGATATTTCAAGATCTGAACAGAATGTCAAGTATCTTTCTTATAAAGAGCTTTGTTAGGTCACAATCTTACTTTGGAAGTAAAACCATATTTTTTTTTTGCTGTGCTCAGTATTATTCAGATAGATTAAATTGGTATACAGAGCCACAAAGAAAGAATCTAGTACATGCCACTGTCTATATTTTACAGTAGTAAAGACCAGTGTTTCAAAATCTATTTTTGGTTAGTTATATCATTATATGCATTCAGCTGTTGTGGGTAAGAATCAGCCCTTACCATCTATCCAATCAGCCAGGGTTACCAAATTGGCAGTTTTTCCTAAAATTTAAGCCATCATCTTTCTTGGATCAATGACTTAACTCACCTGCCCTAATCTCCTGTAGTCAGGAACATCTACATACATACATATATTACACATACGTATAATATTTTAATAGTTAAAACATTACCAACTACACATACATATAAAAAACTTAGCAGCAGGGCTGGAGAGATGGCTCAGCGGTTAAGAACACCGGTTGTTCTTGCAGAAGACCTGGGTTTGAATCCCAGTACCCACATGGCAGTTAACAACTGTCTGTAGCTCCAGTCCCAGGGGATTCAACAGCCTCTTCTGACCTCCATGGGCATTGCATGACACGGGTGCACTTAGTTACATGGAGGCAATACATGAATACACATAAAATAAGTAAAATGTTAAACATAGCTAAAATATTAATTGTATACACATTCTTCCTTGTTCTACCTGTTCCTTAAAGTTTCTTTTGTTTTTGTTTTGAGACAGGTTCCCATTATGTAGCCCTGGCTTGTCTTGATCTCACAGGGATCTCCCTGCCTCTGCCTCTCAAGTGGTGGGATTAAAGGAGTATACCACTGTGCCCAATGTAAGTTAAATTTTCTTAAAAAAAAAATCATTTCTGGGGCTGGAGAGATGGCTCAGCAGTTAAGAACACTGGTTGTTCTTGCAGAAGACCTGGGTTCAAATCCCAACACCCACATAGCAGCTAACAACTGTCTGTAACTCCAGTTCCAGGGGATCTGACAACCTCTTCTGACCTCCGCAGGACTGCACGATGTGGGTGCACTTACCTACATGCAGGCAATAAACACATACACATAAAATAAATAAAATATTTTAAAAAATCATTTCTCGGGGCTGGAGAGATGGCTTAGCAGTTAACAACACTGGTTGTTCTTGCAGAAGACCCGGGTTCAAATCCTAGCATCCACATGGCAGCTAACAACTGTCTGTAACTTCAGTTCCAGGGGATTTGATGGCCTCTTCTGTCATCTGTGGTCATTGCACGACACAGGTGCACTTACCTACATGCAGTCAATAAACTCATATACATAAAATAAAAATAAACTGGGTGTGGTAGTGCATGCCTTTAATCCCAGCACTTGGGAGGCAGAGGCAGGTGGATCTCTGAGCTCAGCAGCGTAGTCTTCATAGTGAGTTCCAGGACAGCTGGGGCTACAGGGAGACCCTGTCTCAAAAGACCAAAAAATAAAAAATTAAAAAAAAAAAGTCATTTCTGGGTCCCAGCTTAGAGCAGTAAGTCCAGGCAAACCATCAATTCCAACACTTTATCCTATTTTATTTTATTTTAGTCTTTTTGAAACAGGGTCTCCCTGTAGCCCCAGCTGGCCTGGAAATCACTATGTAGACCAGGCTGGCCTTGAGCTCTCAGAGATCCACCTGCCTCTGCCTCCCAAGTGCTGGGACTACAGGCGTGCGCCACCACGCCGGCCACTTTATCCTATTTTAAAGTAACTATTTACTAGGATGGAAATGCTGGCTGCACCCTCTGGCTCTCTGACTTCAAAAGTAACACTCATTACACAGTATTTGTCCAGACTTTTCTATTGAAACAGAGCACACCCAGGAGTAGATTTCTCCTGGTGATGACCCAGCTGGAGTAAGTCAAAATGTGTAGCTGTCCATCGGGTTAGGAGATGGAGGGAAGGAGAAAGTGCCATCAAGATCAAGGAGCAATACAAACTACCACATTTCCTCAAAAGCAAGCATCTTTGTTGTGTGAATCCCTGTCAGTGCTCCTTGTGCAAGAAACAAGTCTTTAGAGCTGGAAGCCAACTTCAAAAGGCAACATCTATTTTAAAATAAGGCCAAGAATTCACAACTGAGTTTTGAGATCTCAAACAGGCACATTCATTTTAGGATGCTGCCTACAAAGCTTTGGGAGTTGTAAGGGGAGGGAGGGCTAGCATATGAAACCATATGTGCATGAACTGAGAGATCCTATTTCCCATTTAAAAATCCCGATTGCAGCAGCAAGTACTAGTAGATAAATTGACCACAGAACCTGTATATAACGCAAGGGGGTGGCAGGGTGTGCAGGGAATGCTTTCTGAAAGTGAGCTGGGGAGAGCAAGGATGGCCCTAGATAAAGGCTGACAAATACTGCCCTCTATTGGCAGAGGGCAAATGCTGTAACGTCGGCATTTTCAAGTCACCTTCAGGCAATCAGAAAACATATTCAAATAATTGCATGCTTGTAGTCCCAGCAGCCTTTAGTTTGAGGCCAGCCTATGCAAGGAAGGGGGGTAGGGAAGGAGGGAGGGGGAGAGAGACAGAGAGAGAGAGAGAGAGAGAGAGAGAGAGAGAGAGAGAGAGAAAGACTCCAGCTGGAGCCTGGAACTTGCTATGTAGAGCAGGCTGGCCTCCATCTCAGGTGCTGGGACTAAAGACATGTGCCACCCCATCCAGCTGAAAGGGAAAAATCCCTTGAACCTGACTATATGTTCAGTTCTACACAAACAAAATCTGGTTATAACAAAAACAAAACACCCATAGATTCAGATTGGGGAAGAGCACATATGTAACCTTCTTTTGAAATTAACTTTGACCTGGGGCATACAACTCTATTAAGAACAAAGTTTTCCCAGCATAGGCACGAGAAGTGGGTAAGATCCAACACCACCTAAGGAAATTGTGGTAACAGATGGCTGCTGTGAGGAGCAGAGTTTATTTCAAGCATGGGACTCTTGGTAGGTTAGGCTCCAGTGGATGAACCCACAGTGAAGGACATTTGGGGACAAAAATTAAGACTGTATAGGCCTTATTATATATATAAGAGTACAATAAATTGGGCAGGGGCAATAAGGGGAGGTGTGAACAGGGGAGGGGTTCTAAATACCATCAAATTATATGGTATGAAAAGCTCAAAAATTCAATAAAAAATAATTACAAAATATATAAAGTTTTGGGGCTGGAGAGATAGCTCAGTGGCATATTATAATTCACCAGGTATGATGGTACACCCCTTTAATCCAAGCTCTTGGGAGGCAGAGACATGTGGATCTCTGTGAGTTCAAAGCCTAGTCCACAGTCTACATACCAAGTTCCAGGCCAGCTAGTGTTGCAGTGAGACCCTGTCTGAAGAAAAGTTTGCTAGGCATGGTGGTGCACATGTGAGACAGAGGCAGGCAGATCTCTGTGAGTTCAAGGCCAACCTGGTCTACATGGCAAGTTCCAGGCTAGCTGGGGTTACAGGGAGAGCCTGTCTCAAAAAGACCAAAAAATAAAAAAAGTAAATAAAATTTGGGGGTTGGAGAGATGGCTCAGCAGCTAAGAGCTTGCGCTTGCAAAGGATCCACAATGGTGGTTAACAACTGTAAATCCAGTTCCAGAGGACATGACAACTTCTTCTGACCTCCCCAGGCTTTGCATGACATGAGTGCACTTACATACAAGCAGGCAACACACACACACACACAAATAAAAATAATTTTAAAAATATATAGTTTGCTAAGCACTGGCAAATAAGAGCATAAACAAAGTATTATAAGGGCCACAAAAGTTTGCTCATCAATTATAGTATTTGACTGATAAGGAATATTTGACTGTCTAGGCAAGTAATGTAAGAGAGTTGGAAAGACTGCCCAAATAACTACCATTTCAGCCCAATTCCAAAGGGGTATCATGTACCATGCTCCCCATCCAAGTAGTGACACTTAACCCATGGACATGCCCTGTGAACTACAGCTCTTTACCCATAGTAAGAGCACTTTTCCTTCAAAAAGTGATTCTGACATCTAGCAATGTATAAAATGGCTTTGTGTAGTTCTAGTGGGTATTTGTCAGTGAATGGATATGTGCTTTGTGAGCCTAAGAAACATTAACTCTTATAATACATCTAGTTCTTGAAATGAACATTGTTTGCCTTCCACACTTCCTAACTTTGGCTATGAGGAAAACTGAACCAGGGATTCTCACACACCTAATATCCCCCGTAGTCAGTAAAGAAATTAATTCAATCCATTTCTTCTTGATTCCATGCTCTAAAGTGTTGCATTTTGAGGCAAAACACTTTCCTTTCTCACCATCAGGTCACTGTGAAGTTTCTACAAAATTAGGAAACAGCCCCTACCCCTACATTAGAGTGTCAGCTGATAGGCCAAGGTACCCCACCACACAAAGGTCAGTGTGTTTAAGTATCACAAGAAGCACACAGAGCACACATCTGGGTTACAAAAGCCCTTTTATAAAGCCATTTTTAAACAAAACCAAAAAGGTTTACAAAAGAAAAGATACAGAAAAAGAATAACTTGCTTCATAGGTCCCCCAAAGAAAAAAATAATAAAGGGGACAATGCCAACATGCTCAACAATAAGGGCTTCTTTTCCTTATTTTTTAATACAAAATACAAGCAAAGAATACATAGTTAAAACAAAGTTCAGGAGCAGACACGTAGTCCTGGAAATCCTTCAATAAAAGCAAAGCAGGAGTTTTTCTTTTTGTCTAGGCAGATAGAGACTGGGATATGTAAAAATTAAGTATCACAAAGACCATCACACGATTCTACCAATGCATGTTGCATCTATAATTCACGAACATGGTCAACAAAATCATGTTCACTTCAACTCCATTTCATTTAAATTAAAGAAAAAAACTTTTAAATAAAGTGGTTACATTCAAACTTTAACTTCCTTAGTACCATGCTGCAGATTCAGCATCGTTAAGGTATTGCAAGAATGCCCAACCCTCTGGTGTCTGATCATGTATCTAATGACACTGCAGTATGAAGAAAGGGATGCCTGGGTCTCAACCCACAGACTAAAGACAGTGAAGCAGGTTCCTCTTTGACTCTTCCTGCTCAGAACATGTAAGATTAAGAACAAAAATCAAGGAAGGCTGGGAGTTTTAGAGCTGGCAAATGAAGCCTAAAAGATGCATCAAGGCAAACAATTATTGAGAGCTTGGCTGCTGCTTAACCTGGCAAGTCTTAAAGGAATTAAGTGTGTAAGGTTTGCTGCAACATGTTCATGGTAAACAGTCTACGTAGAGAGCTCTTATTTACAAATCTTGTAACAAATGCCTCTGGAGGAAAAAAAGAGAAAAAATTCACTAACTTCCAGAAGACAAAGGTTTAACTGCCAGATACAAGCACGCACTCACACATACCCACACCCACACAACACTTTAGGGTTTTTATACATGTTATTTTTACGGCATAAACTGAGTGCTATACCCCCCATCCCGTAAAGGAACAACAACAAAAATAATCCCAATTTACTCCCAATTTACCCTCCCCCCATAATCTAGAAAACCCTCCCTTACCCAATATACAAAGTGTCTGCACAACAGTGGTTCTACAGTCACATGGAGCATGCTTGAACAGATGTCACCAGTTCAGGTACTCATTGGCATGGCAACAGGTAGATATATGGGATTTTTTTCCCTCAATAGTGGTTATTACAATCAGCACCACTGTGAATTAGGCTTTGAACAAAAGTGTAACTTAATGGATTTGATATTCGGAAAGAATCACGTATTTTTTGTAAGACAAAGGGCAAAATTAGATTGAGATAGAAAGTTGGCTATTGACAGCTTGATGTCCTTCTCAATAGTCAAAACACTCTTCATCTTTAAGCAAACTTGACTTCCACAGAGAAAATGAATACACCCTCAAGAGAAACCAGAATCTTAATTTCTGCTACTTTTTGGCAGGAAAGATATATTGCTTGTTACCTCCATCTAAACAGAAGAGCACAGCTGCCTTCCCCACTCCAAGCCCTAGGTGGGCATGTTTTCTTTTCAGTGTAGCTACTGATGACCTTGGTAAAACTGCTCAAATTGGCATTCCACGGCAACCAAGCTTTCCCTTTGCTTCTGGTATTCAATTCTGCTCTTACCTTTCTAAAACTCAGTGGTTCCTAAACCAGTTTGTTTAAAGAAAAGCACTGTTCTCCCTAACCTAGAAGCCCAAAATCTACTTATCACTTGCATGTTCATGGGCATACACTATTTAAGAAAGTGTCACCTGTCATGGTGGCATTCATTCCAACACTGCAACAGTAGAGGAAGAACTCCCAACCCGGCTACAGAGTGAAACTATATTCCCAAAAGTCAAATTCAGTTGACTATATCCATAAATACCAAAATGTTGCTAGATTATAACCTCATATTCCACTTTCTTAATTTGTTACCTATAAGAAAATGTTTCAACCAAAATCAAGACTGAACTGAGACAAACCAGTTATTTTGAAAAAAAACAAAAACAAAAAACAAAAAACTATCAAAATTTCTTCAAGAAAACTCAACTTCGAGTCTTCAAAATCAAGATTACAAAAACCACCAAACAAACCAAAACTCTTTCTCAATGCTTCCTTAAAGAAAGAAGCACTCGCTTATCAAATTAGTATGCAGTGGAGGTATGAAAGGTAGAAGAGTTTTAGTAAGTGGGACAAATCTGTCATTGCTAAGATTAAAACTTACCCCTTGGGACCCCTCTCCCAAATCTCATCTGAGCTGGGAAGGGTTAAAAGCAGCAGCAAGTCCCCACTGAAATAAGACAAAAGCTACCATTTCTGGGTAGGGGGTGAGGCTGACAAGAGCCTTTAGAACTAGAATGTAGTGTCAGTCAGCAGAACTGTTGAGACTTAAGTTATAGAGGTAAACCTAGTTGACCTAACTTAGGTAACATAGACAAGCACCTTCAAACTAACATCCCGTTTCCTGAGCACTGCAAAATAAGACAGTAAATGCTATTGCCACTTTACCATAGGCACACTAGAAAAAAGGGGACCAACATTAAGCCAAGGGAGGTGCCAATGGCGAGTCACTATCAGCTTACAGCTGTTAACTCATCCTGATGTCATTATTAAACCTGACTACTGAGCACCTGTTTCCAGTTGAGTCACCCTTAAATGTCCTATTCACATGCATGATTTGAGGGGAAGACCCAGTGTTTTGAACCACCAATAAGAATTGGAGAAAACAAAGGTCATTCAGAGCCTATGTGCTCACTTGAGGACAGAGATCCTTCTGTCCAGCCTGTAAATAGAGAATATACTTTTCAATCTGAGGAATTAGTTTTAAATGGTACCCCAAACAAGAAACTCAATCAAACAGACACAAGTAACTTAGAAGACACAAGTACTTCTAAATTATAGGCACATACAATCAGATGTTAGCACAGATTTAGAGACTGCTCAGAAAAAAAGAAAAAAAAAGACTGAAGTTGAAAGATACCTACCCCCAATTGTTCATGAAATGTAATCTAAGAAAAGCCCAAATGTCACTAGGGATGTAAGACTGCGTTCCATACAACCCTAAAAGGGAGACATGACTGGTGGAAATGCTGCTGAGTTGCTGACTTATGAACACAAGCCTTTTTTTCTTACAGATGGATACCTGAGCAAGCCACTGAAGCAAACAGAATAATCCTTAACATCCCCATTACATAGTTCACAACTATAAATTCCATCATCATATAAAACATTTGCTACTGATGCTCAAGTCTCTGTTTTGCCATGTTTAAAACTCATTATCAGAGTGAAGGATTAAGATGACTCTGCCTTTCTATAAAAGCAGACCTAAGAATATTCTTCAAAGTGTGTCTTAAAAATGAGAGTAAAAATATTTCTTAAATAACTCTTTGTCCTAGGGAATACCTATAAGAAAACTACATTGCCAGAGACAAACATGTTGATGTCTAAAAACAAAAAACAAAACAAATCCAGAAAAGTAGGATATTGAGAAAGCAAATTTAGCTCAAGTGAAGGGAAAAATACAGAAATTACATGTCACTAAATGTTCAATAAGCACACTAGAGAACCTTAAACTTTGCTCCTTTCAGTCCATTTTATGTGAAAGTGGAAGACCAAACCTATAATCTACCTCCTGATGCTTTGCTAAGATGTGTTGTCAGTTATTAATGGCACACTGGGCACCCTAAAACACAGTTCTCTAGTCTTGTTGCATCTCAGGCTCTTGCTTTAAGAAATGAGCAGTGAAGGAGGGGTCAGACCAACTAAGAAGCAAAACCAAACTCCACAGTATAGAAGCAGCATTTAACATACCTCCCACCCTGTCAGTAAGTGAACATAGAGCCAGGAAAATAGTATCCCACAGTAGAGCTGGGAGGCAGGGCTGTGCAGGAGTGCTAAGTAGCAGCGGGAAGTTGTGTGCCATCATTACCATGCTTCTATGAAGAAATGGGAAGATTGGGAGATCAAAAGGAAAATGTGTTATTCCCAAATAAAAACAGCATAGTTCATAGATCTGAGCACACAGATAGCATAAAAGAGTTCCAATTCTCTATGTTCATGTAAGAAAAAAATCTCAATCTTTTGTAACTGAGCTTCACATTAACTGGAAGTTTATTTCCTTAAAACCTTACATCGTCCATCTGAAAAGAAATGCACTCTGGTGCAGAGATTCATTTTGTCACTGAAATTCTAGGGAATTTTTCTCTTTTTAACTTTTGATCCTTGGTAAAATTTTATCCAAAACCCAGGATACATATATATTTTAAAAATATGAACCAATAGATAATTAAATATGAAATTGAGAGTGATTTTGATTTTGGTGGCCCAGTTTTTAAAACTCCTTAAAGACTGTAGCAAGATAAAAAGATCACTGGCTCTGAGTCTCTTTGAGAATAACAAGTATTAAAAAAAAAAAAAAAAAAAAGGAAAACCCACATCCCCAAATAAGCTCAGGGAACCCATTCCCTCCCACATCCTAGGGGAATAAGTTGAGTACTTTCAGTTAGCAATCCAGAGTTCATGTTTATCAGCTCCCTCACCAGTGAAGTTTAGTCATGATTTTTTTTTTGACATTTATACTTATGTATAAAGACATATAAGCTCATGTTAAATGACAACTGGTTTTTCAAAAGTACAGGCAAAGAAAGAACAATCATTTCTAATTAAAACCTTTCTAGTTTTTGATTACTGTTCAAGATGCTACTCTTTAGCAGAAAGCAAAGTTTCCATAGTGTCCATCTCAAATCTTATTGCTTTACAACTGTGGTATACCTTTCATTGCAAAATAAAAAGATGAAGCAGTCAATCCAGTGATTAATTTGACATGGCTTTCATTGGGAAAAGGGGATGGGGGTGGCAAAGAGCAAAGACAAATGGTAACTTAAACACTTTAACATACAATGGTTTTGAGAGAGAGAGAGAGAGAGAGAGAGATAAAGGGGAGAGATTGAGATTCTTTTGACAAATGAAAAAGCAATGAAAGCCCATGAGTCAAGCCATAGCCAAAACCGTGTCCTAACTTAAGTAGGTTTCCATTTTTTTTAATAAAATCTCTCCCAAAACATTATCACTTTTTAATCTTCCCCAGACTGCACTTCATCTTCAGACCCTTCATCTCCAGATTTCTCCATTGGGGGGCTTGCAGACGTCTTCTTCTCTGGAGGGCTTTCTGCTTCCTCGTCGTCATCTTTGGGAGAAGGAGTCTTATCCTTTGAAGCCTTTGAAGCTGTGGGGCGACCCACTTTCCCTTTGCCTTTCACTGGACTAGGTGTCACTGAAAGAAAGGAAATCACAGTTTGGGGAAGAAAAGAGAAAAAAAACGCCTAGAAGGAAAAAAAAAAAAAAATCAAATTGCTCTCTAAGAATAGTATCTATTTAAAAAATTCATCTCGCTGGGCGTGGTGGCGCACACCTTTAATCCCAGCACTCGGGAGGCAAGCGGATGGATCTCTGTGAGTTCAAGGTCAGCCTGGTCTACACAGTAAGTTCCAGGACAGCTGGGGCTACAGGGAGACCCTGTCTCAAAAAGACCAACTCCCCCGCCCGCCAAAAATAAAAAAACACACACAAAAAAAACCCTCATCTCACTAAAAAGGTACACAATTTAGTAAACATATGCATAAATCTCACTTTCTAAATAGCCACAATAAATTACTGCAAAATGCCATAATATTTTCTGATCTTTTAAAAAATTTTATTATTTTTATTTTATGTGTATATGTGTATTGCCTGCATGTAGGTAAGTGCACCTGTGTCGTGCAATGCCTGTAGAAGACAGAGAGGCTGTCGGATCCCCTGGAACTGGAGTTATGGACAGTTGTTAGCTGCCATGTGGGTGCTGGGATTCGAACGTGGGTCTTCTGCAAGAACAGTCAGTGTTCTTAACCACCAAGCCATCTCTCCAGCCCCTTTCTGATCTTTTCTTAAAAGAACTATAAGCAAATCTAGATTTGGCAGAAATCATTAGGGCTAAGAAGAATATTTATGGTCAAGAGCAACTTTGTTTTCAATAGATCCACCTTGTTTTTATTGCCAGTATTGCCTTATTCTCAGAGAAAAGAAAAAGGGCTGGAGACTAGAACACAGAACTTGACTGTATGATTGTAGATCTGCACATTTTCACATCCTCACTAGCTGCTAGGACTATGCTACCAGAGAAGTATATGCTACATGAACAGTGTTCCTACCACTCACTGTGCCTGAAACAGAGGTCATTCCCAAATCTTGCTTACACACAGCAGTAGTTGAAGAACAGGGATAAGACTACAAGTGTAAGACAGAATCCTTTTGGATTTCTTGTATTTCTATCAAAATACAAGGCCACAATGTTGAGGCCTAATGAAGAATTTGTGGTGAGAAAGTTTAGTTCTTAAAAATTTTTAAAGCAGAAATTTGGTTTTACTTCATTGGGGCTCACCTGTAGCCTTTAGCCTTGGTTTGGGCATTTTCTTCTCTTTTCTCTCAGGTTTGGACTTCTTAACCATCTTTTTGTTTTTCTTTTTTGAACTGCCATAGTCACTATCGTCGTCGTCTTCCATTAGGAAATCTTCATCGCTGCCAGAATCTTCTGAGAGGAAAGAAAGAATTGTAACATCCACCTTAAATGTATAAATCCTTCTAAGTGAACAAAAGGAGTGAGTGCTGAGAACAAGTGGAGGACAGGAATTGGGAGTTATGACTACTGCATTCTATCTGATGCTATACTATCCATTTGGTTGTTGTTGTTACTGGCCTAATTTGTAAAATGGGTGTAGTGTGTACCTCACGTGAGTTAATGACTGATTGCTTCTAATTGTTTTGTTTTTATTGAATTTTTTATGACTGACTTGTTTGAAGAATTGACTGAAAATGAAGGAATAAGACTTAATAAGAATAAAAACAGAAACCAGGTCAGGTGCAATAGCACATTGCCTATAATTGCTGAGCTCAGGAGGCTGAGGCCAGAAGATGGCAAATTCCAAGCCAACTTTGGCTACATACTGAGACCAAATAAGGCTGGAGATGAATAGTTCAGTGGTAGAGGATTTGCTAGATCCTACCCTAACTCTGATCCCTAGTACTGCAAACAAACAAACCAACCTGAAAACCATCAAATACTGAAGTAATTTTGGTAGTTTCACCAATCTCATGTAGTATTTTTTGAAAGGAACCCGAACTGATCTTTGGCTAAACAAAACATAATAAAGCAGAAATATACATAACTAATCTAAACCAATGTCCAGAATTAACTTTGTGTGGGGAGAAAGTGGTCTATAATCTTCCTCTGCTAGGCTAAAATTAAAATTGTAAAAAGACTCAAAGTAGAAAGAAACCATTACATATATTGAACAATCAATCATAAGAATATCTGAACATAAGCCAGGTGTGGTGGCACATGCCTTTAATCCCAGGACTCTGGAGGCAGAGGCAGGCAGATCTCTGTGAGTTCAAGGCCAGCCTGGTCTACATAGGGAGTTCCAGGACAGCTGGGGCTACAGGGAGACCCTGTCTCAAAAAGACCAAAAAAAAAAAAAAAGAGAGAAAACAATGTCTGAACATTAAAAAAAAACCATAAATGAAGCCAGATGTGGTGTCTCACACATTTAGGCCCAGCACTTGGGAGGCACAGTGGAGTTCCAGGCCAACTGGGGCCACAGATAGGACCCTATCTCAGAATAAATTAAAAAAAAAAAATTTTTTTTAATTTGAGTATAATTTGACAGTGAATCTATCCAATCCAACTGTGTATTGATGCTCATTTTCTTTTTTTTTTTTGGTCTTTATTAGACAGAATATCCCTGTAACCACAGCTGACCTGGAACTTGCTATGTAGACCAGGCTGGCCTCTGCCTCCTGACATTTATTTTTACTTATGTGTGTGTAGGCACCTGTAGAGTTACAGGCAGTTGTGAGATACATGCCGTGGGTGCTAGAAACTAAGTTCGTTTGGGTCCTCTAAAGGTTGGAGAAATGGCACATATTCTTCAACAGGGAATATCTGCTTAACTTGAGAGACTGGATGCAAACATTTAGCATCTTAGAAAATATCAAAGTCACAAACTACAATTACAAATAAAGGACCAGGATTACCATGTAGTTCAATAGATAAGAATGCTTTGCCTGGCATGCATGAAAAGCCCTGTGTTAGCTAAGCATGGCATTTCACACCTTTAATCCCAGCACTTGGGAGGCAGAGGCAAGAGGATCTCTGTGAGTTTGAGGCCAGCCCAGTCTACATAGTGAGATTGTGTTAGATCCTCAACACTCCCTAAAACTGAGAATGGTGGTGGCATGAGTTCAAGGCTATCCTCACCTACATGATGCTGGGCTACATGAGAGCCCTTCTCAAAAAACAAAGGACCAAAGAGCAATAGCTAACTGTACATACTCTCCTGGAATGGTGCCTCATCCTCTTCCTCTGGTTCTTCCTCACTCCCCACATCTTCTAAGAGCATCTCTCTCTGTTTAGAAGCTGCTTTAGATGCTGCCTGCCGTTGCTGGCGCACATTTTTATGGTCGTCTTTTTCATCTTCACTGTCCTCTGCAATATAAGTTATTGTGATATGATGATTGAAGAACTTTGCATTTACCAATATAGAATACAACCACAGCTTTACTTCATTCTTTAGAAAAAAAAAATCATTTTTTAATTTTACATGTATGAGTGTATTGCCTGCATGTAGGTAAGTGCACCCATGACATGCAATGCCCACAGAAGACAAGAGTGTTGAATCCCCTAGAACTGGAGTTATGGACAGTTGTTAGCTGCCATGTGGGTGCTGGGATTCAAATCCGGGTCTTCTGAAAGAACAACCAGTGTTCTTAACCGATCTCTCCAGCCCCAGCTTCATTTCATTCTAAAAGTAAACCTATCCTTAAAAATTCTTAAAGTCAGCTGGGTGTGGTAGTGCGTATCTTTAATCCAAGCAGAGGCAGGTGAATCTCTGTTGAGTTTGAGTCCAGCCTGGTCTACATAGGGAGTCCAGGCCAGCTGGAGCTACAAGGAGACTCTGTGTCAAAAAGCAACCCCTGCCCCAAAATCCTTATATACATACATAAACGGAAATAATCTATACCCTGCTTAAAGAGTTGATGCATGATTTTTAAATATGTATGAAGTACCTTGCAGAAAATTTAACACCTAGAATTTGCTCAGTAAACAATAGTTCTATCAAATTTAGAAATATTTTGTCTAATGTATGGAATTAAAGATCCACAATTCTCAATTTAGAAATCCAAAATGTTACAAAAACTTTTTTCATTCATAATTTACATGGTGGAAAACTATGATTTGATCTAAATATAAGGTGTTTTACAATCTTTGTTAAGTGTGAAAATGAAAAAAAAAAAAAATCTTTAAAGTGTGGTAGGGCACATCTATAACCCTAACTAGAGGAACAAGAGTTCAAGGCGCATCTATACTATAGGAAATTGGATTAAAACAAATAAGCAAGCAAACAAAAACAAAAACTTCAGAGCACACACCTTTAGTCCTAGCACTGAGGAGGCGGATGCAGGTTTCTGTGAGGTCAGTCGGGTCTACATATAGTTCCTGGCTAAAAAGAGTCCTCCAAAACCAACCAACCAACCAACCAACCCAGCCTCACAAACTCCCCCAGCAAAATACAAAGAGGGAGATAATGTTCACCAAGAATCAACTTAAATAAGATGATTATGTCCTCATGACTTTTTTCTTCTTTGGGTTTTTTTTTTTTTTGTCTTTTTGAGACAGGGTCTCCCTGTAGCCCCAGCTGTCCTGGAACTCAGTATGCAGACCAGGCTGGCCTTGAACTCAGAGATCCACCTGCCTCTGCCTCCCAAGCGCTGGGATTAAAGGTGTGTGCCACCACGCCTGGCTTCTTCTTTGGTCTTTTTGAGACAGGGTCTCCCAGTAGCTCCAAATAGCCTGGAACTCACTATGTAGACCAGGCTGTCCTGGAACTCAGAGATCTACCTGTCTCTGACTCTTGCAGGCCTGTCTGAACCCTAACCCCTCACTCCCTGCCTGTATCCCCTCAGCATGACCCAGGGTGCCGTGTGCTTTTGCTCAAAAGGTGACTGTGCCATCTCCCCACCATAGTGCCCTTGCCGCTGGCTCCCTGAAGGCCCAGACATGTATGGCAGCACAGGATCCCTGCTATGAAGAATGGCAGTTCCAGGTCCCCCGAGGCCGGGAACTATTGGGACATGTGATAGCACCTCATACCTCAACTGGTACGGCTCCCTCACCCTAGGCACCTTTTTCATCCACTGGGAAGCCCCCACCAGGGCATGGGGATCTGTGGTCATCTTCCATTTTATGGAGAAGGCCAGTGTGGGGCCACTGTGCTGGGAATAAAGGTGTGCACTACACCCGGCTATTTATTTTTTACTTTATATGTATCAGTGTATTGCCTGCATGTATGAAAGTGCATTACTTCCCTCCTCTTTCCTCTGAATCACTCTCAACATACACCCAATTTCATATTCTGCTTTAAAAAAAAAACCAACCTGGGCATGGTGGCACATGCCTTTAGTCCCAGCACTTGGGAGGCAGAGAGGCAGGTGGATCTCTGTGAGTTCAAGACCAGCCTGATCTACATAGTGAGTTCCAAGCCAGCTGGGGCTACAGGGGGAGACCCTGTCTCAAAAAGACAAAAACAACCAAACCAAACCAGTAAATCCAATTAGTGCTGTCTGCATGTGTAAGGCCTTCTACTAGAGCACAGGCAACCTATCAGTGGCCACATCCCAGCAGCTATTAACTGCCAAATAGCTCCTCAGCTAGAGGTGGGACCTTGAGTCCCTCCCCACTCTGATAGTCAATCACTTTTAATGCCAAAAATCTCATCTGGAGACAATTAGAGAATGGAACTGACCTTGGCAGGCCCTAAATGGAATCTAACGGAATCTACCTGGCAGGAGTTGTACTTATGAGTAAGTACACAGACATGCATCTTGAAGTACTCAAAAACCTAACAAAGGTAAGGTTTGAATTAGGGGTCACAAGCAATCGAATGACAATGCACACTATACATTATTTTTAAAGTCACTAGATAGCAAGGAAAGCAGAAAACCTCAATGGAGTGAATTTAGCAGCTTTGTCTACCTTCTGTATTTTAAACAGCAGTCAGGAAAAGGGACATTCAGGAAGACAAAAGGAGGGATACACAGGCCCACATTAAAGTAGCAGAAGCAATAAAGAATAAAACTTTTTTTAAAAAAGTTTATATTTTATTTATTATTTTTATTTTATGTGTATGTGTGTATTGCCTGCATGTAAGTGCACCCGTGTCGTGCAATGCCCATGGAGGACAGAAGAGGCTGTCGGATCCCCTGGAACTGGTGTTTTGGACAGTTGTTAGCTGCCATGTGGGTGCTGGGATTCGAACCCAGGTCTTCTGCAAGAACAACCAGTGTTCTTAACCACTGAGCCATCTCTCCAGCCCCAGGAATAAAACTCTTAAGAGTTAAATTTAAAATAATACCAAACAGTAAGTCTTTAGGATTGAATTTATTCATGGAAATTGCTCATTAGTTAAAAAAAAAAAAAAAAAAAAGTTAGTTTTAATTGTGTGTTTGTTTGTGTCTGTCTTTGAGTGGGTATATTCATGTAAGTTCAGGTGCCCAAGAAGTCCAGGTGTTTGAACTTATGGAGCTGGAGTTACAGATGGTTGTGAGCCAGTGCTCTTAAATTGTTGAGCCATCTCGCTAGCCCCTTATTGACACAGGGCATCCTCAGATAACACTGGCTGACTCTGTACTTGCAGCAATCCTGTTTCAGCACCCTAATTGCTGAGATTACAGGCATCTGACACCGTTATCTGTTTAATTCTTTTAATTTAAAATGTTAGCAAAATCCTTTCTCTATAGCTATTGCTTCAAATGACATTTACTTAGTTCGATGTCATTTTCTTATGCATCTGAAAGTTTTGAACTTGACTATATATGAAAACAACCTGTAGATACTTAAAAAGCAAAAACAAAACAGTGATAAGGATTGAGAATCGCATTTAGTTTTGTGAAAATGGAAAACAGCTGGCCTGGAACTCACTACATAGACCAGGCTGGCCTTGAATTCACAGAGATCCGCCTGCCTTTGTCTCCCAAGTGCTTGTGCCACCACGCCTGGCTGAAAATGGAAACACTTTTAAAATCGTGCAGAGCCCAAGGTCAGAAGAGGGTGTTGGATCCTCTGGAACTGGAGTTACAAATGGCTGTTAACCACCATGTAGGTGCTGGGAACTGAACCTGGGTCCTCTGCAAGAGCAGTCAGTGTTCTTAACCAATGAGTCATCTCTCCAGGCCCAGAAACATTTTTTATAATCCCAGCATTTGCAAGTATCTGACACACAATACTGAAAATATGAATTATTCCTACTGCATTAAACATCATTGTACCTGCTGAGTGAGAATCATCCTTCTTGGTCTTCACATCTTTTTCTTCTGAATCCTCACTGTAAAGCAAAAAGAAAAAGTAAATGCAGGGTGTGGTGGCGCACGCCTTTAATCCCAGCACTTGGGAGGCAGAGGCAGATGGATCTTTTTGAGTTTGAGGCCAGCCTGGTCTACATAATGAATTATAGGATAGCTGGGGCTACAAAGAGACCGTATCTCAAAAAGACATAAAAGAAAAAAGAAATAGAGCTAAATCTAAACAATTGCTGAGTATGGTGGCTCATACCAGCAATCCCAGTACTCAGGATGCTGAGACAGAGGACTGACATGAGTTTAAGGTCAGCCTGAGCTATAAAGAGTAAGACCCTAAGCCAGGTGTATCTCTGTGAATTCAAGGTCAGCCTGGGGCATATCATGAGACCTTGTCTTGGAGGGGGTGAGGGTGTGGGGAATTAAGACTGTCCACCCCCACCACCACCCTAAACACTGTTTGATCACAGACTTCTAATATCAAACTTAAAAGAACACTGAACTCTTAAGAATGAAATTGCTTTCTTACTTGACAGGGATGTTCATGAACAGGCATAATTTCAGTTACTATGGAAAATTAAATTGCTTCCTAAGACTCAAGGAGAAAAAAAAAGGCATCTCAACACAGGCCTACTTTATAAGAATATGCAAAGAGGAAAAGAAAAAACTCAACCAGGGGTCTTGCATGAGTAAAGCCCTAGGTTCAATACCTCTTCCCAGGTCCACAACAAACAAAACAGAAAAATAAAAAAACAAAATTTTGTTTTTTTTACAAATACAATGAAGTGTATGTTTTCCTCTAGCTATTTCAGTGAGTTTACAAAGAACATCAAACACTATTAAGCCAAATCTCAACTTTTAGATGGAAAGGAATAGAAAAATCATCACAGCATTGGTTTTAGGAATATGATTAAAGTTGACCTAAAAGCTAGCCTGGGAGGTGCAATGAGACCCTGTCTCCCACCAGGCCCCAAAGGGAAAAAAAATTCAGGCCAGATACGACATGAGACACTGTAACAGACCATAAATAGCTCATTCTTAGGAGAAATATACATGAATACAATTAAAAATATTTCTGACTTGAGCTATTTAAACTGAGTAAGAGATATACTCCAAACTCTGGAAGATGTCTCTCAATGGCATATTATATCATTTTCATCAAAACTCCATTTCTGAAATTTTCTCCTCAACAAGACACTAGAAAAGTTAGCTATATAAACAAACACTACTCAGCAAATTAATATAATAGTGATTTTAGTGTTTCAACTACTATTTCATTTGTCTGTAACATTTGGAAGTGGTAAAGCCAAATGGTTAAAAAGGGGACTTTGGGGCTGGGTGTGGTGGCGCACGCCTTTAATCCCAGCACTCGGGAGGCAAAGGCAGGCGGGGTCTCTGTGAGTTTGAGGCCAGCCTGGTCTACATATGAGCTCCAGGTCAGGTGTGGCTAGAGGGAGACCCTGTCTCACAAAAGACCAAAAAAAAAAAAAAGACTCTGAGGTCCAACAGGTATAGTTTCAAAATCCGCTTATCTAAATCACTGAACCCTCAAATCCAACGTGTTATGAGAATCAAGTGATAATGTACATAAAGTACAATACAGTCTGAAATATTCTTCTTCAATCAGCAGCAGTAGCAGCTGGATCAAGGTCTTAAAGTTATACTACATTACATATGAAAGTATGTGTATGCTTTGAAAACCAGGCAAAAATTCCATCATCCTGCTCTCAGTGTAGTTATATAAATTTCAATGCATGTGACTACATTTGTGTAACTAAAAGAAAAGAGCTTTGGGGATGCATAGCTCAACAGTAGAATGTCTGTCTAGCATGTGCAAGGTCCTGACACCACATCAGAAAGGGAGGGGAAAGAGGAGGAAGAGGAAGAGGGGAAGATGAGACAGAGAAACAACATGCACAGACCATAAAATTCTGCAAGGTGTAGTTATGATCCTGCTATCGATCTGTGACCAAACAGGAATGTCACTTTTTTCTCCTATCACTATAATGAAGTTTTTCAATACCAACCTGACGTAACAAATTAACAACACTCTTTTGGCTCATATTCGTAAGTTTGAGAAAGGTGCAAAGGCATTCCTAGAGATAAATTATAGCCTATATAACATGGACTACACAAACATCAAGTGGACAGTAAATAGTTCCCAAAAGCATAGACTTCATAAATTTAGAGATCATAGATTGCCTTCATTTCAGAGTTCTGATACTGTAAGAAGAAAGATAAAGTAATGCCTCCTACCTGTCTTCTTGTGAATTCTTTCCAGATCGCCTTTTATTTTTAGCTTCTCGAGGAGATGACCGAATTTTCTTAGCTGGAGGGCCTGAATCTCTTCCATAATCTTCATCTAAACAAAAACATTTTTTCAAATTCAATTAATTATACTGATTTTTTTTAAAAACTTCTTTCTTAAAAAAGATTTTTATGTGCCCGAGTGTTTTGCCTGCTTGTACATAAGTGGACCATGTGCAAGCAATGTCCACAGAGGCCAGAATAGGGCATCAGATTTCTTTAAAAAAAAAAAAAATTTATTTATTATTTTTATTTTATGTGTATGAGTGTATGGATCCCTGGCTGGAGGTAGGGCAGTTGTTAGTCATCATGTGGGTGCCAGGAACCGAACCTGGGTCCTCTGCAAGAGCAGCCAGTACTCTTACCTGCTGAGCCATCTAGCCTCTTTAAACTACATTTCTTTTTTCTTTTTTTTTGAGACAGGGTCTCCCTGTAGCCCCAATGCTGGGATCCAAGATTTGTGCCACCGTGGCCAACTTTAAACTACATTTCTTAAAAAAAAAAAACCTTTTATTTGGGAGGCTGGAGAGATGGCTCAGCAGTTAAGAGCACTGACTGCTCTCGCAGAGGACCTGGGTTCGAGTCCCAGCACCCACATGGCAGCTAACAACTGTCTGCAACTCCAGTTCCAGGGGATCCGAAGCCCTCTTCTGACATCCGTGGGCATTACATGACAGAGGTGCACTTACATGCATGCAATATACTCATAACACGTTAAAAAATTATGAATAAAATATATTAAAAAAAAAACAACATTTATTTGATTGTGTATGGGAATGCCTGCCATGCATGCATGTGGAGGACAGAAAACAACTTGCAGGAAGGAGTCAGTTCTCTCCTTCCACCATGTGAGTTCTAGGGATTGAATTTAGGTCATCAGGCTTAGCAGCAAGTGCCTTTACTCACTGCATCTTGCTGGACTTTATATTTTTAACAGATGAAAAAGATAGAAGGTTAAAAGTTAACAGAAAGTACAAGATAGCCACATGCTAACTAGGAGACCCAAGTATCATCTCTACCTCAGTTTCCCTAACAGTAAATGAAACAGTAGATTCCTATCAACAGGATTGCTCTAGTAAAGCATTTATTAAATGCAAACATTTAAAACAATTACTGGCATGTAGTGCAATTAATTAGTGTTAGTATTAACTCTGAGATAGGATTAAATAATAGTATTAAATATCAGGCTTTTAAATTCTTTTGTATATCTTTCTGCATTTTCTAACTTCTTTCAAAGTATACATACTATATAAAGTAAAATTATATGACAAAATTTATTACTTTATTATGCAAAAACCATAACACTTTCAGGTATAGGTTTTACTGTGTTAACAGCAGACTTCCTGTTTTTGATTCAGGGTATTGCTGTGATGTCATAGCTGGTCTGGGAATTCTTGGGCTGAAGTGATCTACCTGCGTCAGTTTCCTGAATAGCTGGGAGTACAGGGTGGCATTACTGTGTCCGACTGGCAAGAGGGTCTTACATAATAAATATTGCAACAGTTATTAGACATCTAACCTTTGGATTCTAAAACTAGACAAGAAAACAATTTGCTCAAGTGTTTATTATCTTACATAGGCAGAGTGGCGCATACATATAATCTCAGCACTTATGAGGCTGAGGTTAGCCTGGGCTACATAGCAGACCTTATCTCATTCAAGTTCATGTTGTTTTGACACAGAAATCTGGTTGTTTTAAATCAAGAATTAAGAGGCTTCTTCTATGTTGAGTGTGGTAGTGTCTTTAATCCCAGTACCTGGGAGGTAGAGAAGGGGCATTTCTGTGAGTTCCAAGCCAGCTGAGGCTATGGGAAGACCCTGTCTCAAAGAGATTTCTTCTAAAAGCAGGGCAAATACATGGCAGTTCTGTGCCTGAAACATACCTGCATCATCTGATTCCTGAAACTGTGAATAATCAACGACCTTCCTATTTCTGTAGAAAGAAGAGACAAATTTAAATAAAAAGCATGACTTCTAATTCACCAAAATATTCATCTCCTCCACTTTTACAAAAGTATTTCACACTATTGCAAGAAAGAGTAGGTTAATCCAAAAGCATGTCAAACTACACTTCTTATACTATACACCTCAGTGATATGGTTCTTCTGAAGCTTTGCACTTTCCACCTCCCCAAACACACAACAGCAAAGGAATTCACTCACATGTATTCACTATACAGACAGCATACTCTATTTACTAGCCAAAATTTCAAGTGTTATTTTATTCTTACTGTTAAACACATGAACACTTGTACTTGCAAAACAATATTACTGTTAGGTAAAAGCAGTTTTTGAGCAATATATAATATAGTCATTAACAATACTCTCATATCATGGTGATACCAAGCTTCATTCGAAAGAAGAAAAACATTCACTGTTTTAGTCAAAGGATGTTTTATTTTGCTTTTTTTTTTCCCCCTGTTGTTGAGACAGGGTCTCCCTGTAGCCCTAGCTGGCCTGGAACTCAAGAGATCCCTTACCCCTGCTGGGATTAAAGCCATATGCCACCATGCCTGATGCAAGTACATTTTTTATTAACTTGCTCCTATGAAAACTAGAAATTAAGGTCTATCAGGATATAAATCTAATTCTTAAGAGGAGGGCTACTTAAGTACAAAGCCATTGAGAAGTTCTACTTCTAGCCAAAATACCAAGAAACCATCTTATTAGACTACAACTAAACATTATGAAATAGCCAGGAGTGGTGGTATATACCTGTCATCCCATCCTTCAGGAGGCAGAGGCAGGTGGATCTCTGAGTTCAAGGCCAACCTGGTCTACATGAGTTCCCCACTGTGCTACAGAAGGAGCTAAGGTCTCAAACTACCACATAGAAACTGAAGCAAATACAGAATTTCAACAGCACATACGACAGAACTACACTGAATCCTGATTCTGTCACTTATTAGTTCTAAGTCTTTAAATAAGTGACTTTTTTTTTCCTCATTAACTTGTTTCTTCAACTATAAACCAGGAAGAATACAGAATACTCAGGACTGTCCTGGAATTAAGTGCCAAGTAAATTTCCATCACTTAAATCAACTGGAGAGCCATTAAACAGGCTAAAGTTTGCACTAGAAGAAAATTTGTAATTCAAGGAAACATGCAATACAAAAGAACACAGAAACTGTCATATCTTCACTGTCTGTACTTACTTTAGCCGACAAGCCTGCATACTTAGACTGAAAATATAACTTGAGGGGCTGGAGAGATGGCTCTGATAAGTAGTTTTTCACCCCAAATAAAACATGAAGAAATTTTAAAAAACTTAACTTGGTCACAATGAGCTATTTGGTCCCAAATGTAGGTAAATCAAAGTAGTTTAAAAGCACAGGATTTTAAAATCTGGGTATGGTGGTACAAATTTGCAAACCTAGCACTTGGGAGGTAAGGAAAGAGGATCAGGAAGTCAATTATTATCCTTAGCTACAGCGAGTTCACGGCCAGCCTGGGTTATAGGCGATGCTCTTTGAACAGTGTCTTCCTCCACCCCAGTAGGACTTTATCAACTTCTTTCTACTAAATACTGACAGAACGCTGGGGGCCAGTGGTAAAGGCACTTGTCACACCTAATTTCAATCCCTGGGACCTCCATGATACGAGAAGAGATTCCCACAAGTTATCCTTCGGTTCCACATAAACGCTGTGGCCACGTGTACACCCATACACACATACAGGTATAAATAAATCTAGCAAAATTTTTTAGGGGGATCTTTTTGAGACAGGGTCTCCTTGTAGGTCCATATGGCCTGGAACTTGCTATATTAGATTAGGCTGGCCTTGAACTCAGAGATCCACCTGCATCTGCCTCCAGAGTACAGGGATTAAAGGTATGCTCGCCCATGCCTGGCCCAGTAATTTTTTTTTTTTTTTTTTGTCTTTTTGAGACAGGGTCTCTCTGTAGTCCCAGCTGTAATGGAACTCACTATGTAGACCAGGTTGGCCTTGAACTCACAGAGATCCGCCTGCCTCTGCCTCCCGAGTGCTGGGGTTAAAGGCACACCACCACTCCTGGCTAATTTTTTTTAAAAAACAACAGAATGTTGGGGATGGAGAGATGGCTCAGTGGTTAACAGTACTGACTGCTCTAGGAGAGGACCTGGGTTTGAATCACAGCACCTACATGGTGGCTAACCTCCACCTGTAACTTCAGTTCCAGGGGGTCCAATGCCCTCTTCTAACCTTTCAGGCACTGCATGACACAGGTGTACTTACATACATGCTGGGAAAACACTCACTCATACACAAATAATTTTAAAGATCAGAATGTTGTTTTCATGTACCAAGAATATCCTTTTTGTCTGCTGAAAGAAAAAGCATTCTGTTCTGAGAATTAAGGATCACAATGTTTTAGAGATGGAAATTACCATGTTTTTAAATGATGAGCCTAACCTTAATTTTAAAAATGAGAAAAAATAACTGAGACCACATAGAACTCAGCTCTATTTTGTAATAAGCCTTTGCAAATCTACCTAATCGTTAGGACCTTGATTTTTTTTTTTGCAGGGGGGGGTCTTTTTGAGGCAGGGTCTCCTTGTAGCCCCAGCTGGCCTTGAACTCACAAAGATTCATCTGCCTCTGCCTCCTGAGTGCTGGGACTTAAAGGCATGCACCACTGTGCCTGGCCTAAGGACCTTAAATTTTATAACATGCCATTTTCTTAAACTAAGGACAAAAGCCTACTACTTAATCTCCTGTATTGTTTAGTTAATGCTGACTGAACTGACACTTTTATCCTATAGCTAATTATTTTAAATTCTAACTCCAGTTCCAGGGGATCCGATGCTGGCCTTGAGAATTACACATACGTGGTATACTCACATAAATGCAGGCAAAACACTCATATACATAAAATACAAATTAAAAAAATTTAAAATTAAAAACCTGACTTCTAATTCCATCAATTGCTTGGTTGTAAACACCTCACTTCATTTTTTTAGATGAATGAGATCTTTAGAACAACGCTTTTCAATCTGTCAGTCACAAACTCCTACCAGGTGCTGAAATCAATCTGCTGATGCATGACTAGCAGTTTATTTTATTTCATTTTATTTTAGTCTTTTTGAGACAAGGTTTCCCTGTAGCTACAGCTGGCCTGCAACTTGCTATGTAGACCAGGCTGGCCTTGAACTCAGATCTGCTTGCCTCTGCCTCCCAAGTGCTGGAATTAAAGGCCATGTGCCACCACACCCAGCTTATTTATTGTATGAGTTTTGCCTACATGTATGTTAAGTGTACCCATACCATGCAGTGTCTAACAGACCAGGTGTCACATCCCCTGGAACCGGGGTTACAGATAGTTTTTAGCTGCTATTATGGGTACTAGGAATCTAATCTGAATCCTCTGCAAGAGCAACCAGTGCTCTTAACCACTGAGTCATCTCTCCCCAGCCCCACTAATCGGCATTTTAAAAGATAAACAGCAAGCGAAAACAACAAAGAAAACTGTACTATAATAACTGCTAAGTCCCTGATTTTGTTTCAGGTGTTATGTTTTTGTGTGAATATTTCTACTAGAATTCCACCAAGAGTTCAAGAACCAAGGTTTTAGAAAAGAGATGTAATTACAAGAGTTCCAGATTTGGGTTCACCGTCAGAAGAAAAATTGTTTTTGACTTTGACAAACATGGCATCTTCTTCACTTTACTCTATTAGTTTTGTTTGCCTTTTTTGGGGGGTGGGGGGTGTCCTTTATGGAACTCACAGAGATCTGCCTACCTCTGCTGGTATTAAAGGCTTGTGTCACCAAGCCCAGCTCTTTTTATTTATTTATTTTTTTAAAGATGAATGTATACCAGAAGAGGACGTCAGATTCTCTAGAGCTAGAGTTACAGGTGGTTGTGGATGGTTGTGGCAGGATGCTCTGGAAGAGCAGCAATTACTTTTTTCTTTTTTAGTTTTTAATATTTTACTTGAGGAAAAATGCTACAATTACAAATAGAGAATCACTATAAACACATAGTGAGTACCTATATACTGGATTATGAAGAAAATATAAAATATCATTTAACAGTGGAGAGATGTGAGAAACATTGTTTTAGGTAAGGTGATCATAGGAGCAGTAAAAAAAAAATACTTTGTCAAAAGTTAAGAGTATCAATTTATCTCTATGGTCTTCTTCCAAAAGCATATTACCCTAAGCTAATTAACTATTAATGTTAATTTATTGACTTTTAATTATTCAGGGGATGAATTTATCATTAAGGAAAACAAAATTATATGTAAAAGGCTACATTTTAGTTAATAATAGTGTAAATATTTTATTAAGAATGATTCATTAGGAGCTGGAGAGATGGCTCAGCAGTTAAAAGCACTGGCTGCTCTTACAGAGGACCCAGATTTGATTCCCAGCACCCCACATGGCAACTAACAACTGTCCATAACTCCAGTTCCAGGGGATCTGACACCCTCTCTGACCTACAAGGGCATAATATGAATGCATACAGACATATGCAGGCAATACATTCATACATGTAAAATAAAAAATAATAAAATATTTTTTAAAAGAATGATTTAAGTACTAATTCTAGGTATTTAATATTCGTGAAACTGGTTATGGAGTATATAGGTACTCACTATGTGTTTACAATGAGCAGCAAATAACAACTAAGTTATCCCTCCAGCCCTTTCTACTTTGTTCTTGCAGAGGACCTGGGTTTGATTCCCAGCACTCACATGGCAGCTATGAACCATCCTTAACTCCAGTTCCAGGGAAATCCGAAGCCCTCTTCTGACCTTCGTGGCATGGCACTGCACAACATGGGTGCACTCACATACATGCAGGCAATACACTCGTACACATAAAATAAAAATAATAAAATTTAAAAAAACTTTTGTTTTGAAATACAGTCCCAGTATGTAGCCTACATTGGTTTCAAACTAGTGATCTTCCTTTTAAAAAGCCTTCCACATGCTGCAATTACAGGTGTGCACC